CAGCAATACCATAGAAGAACCATTTTTGGTTTCCCAAAGAACCTTTGAGTTCTTAAAAAAACATTTTTATTAGTGTGAAGAACATTTTAAACATCTAAAGAACTCGTTTTCACTATAAAGAACTTTTTGTAAAGCAATACCATAGAAGAACCATTTTTGGTTTCCCAAAGAACCTTTGAGTTCTTAAAAAACATTTTTATTAGTGTGAAGAACATTTTAAACATCTAAAGAACTCGTTTTCACTATAAAGAACTTTTTGTAGAATGGAAAGTTTCCGTGGTTGTTTATGGTTCATTGTGGAAGAATAGATACCAACAAAGAACCTTTATTTTTATTATTGGAAACAGTATCTTGTTTTGTCTCTTCTTCTTTTAGAAGATAGAAAAGAGGGTGAATAAATAATGACAACATTTTTCGTTTTTGGGTGAACTATCCTTTTAAATATTTCCTACATGGGTGGAATAAATAATGAGACATGTTTTAGTGTATTATTCACATTCATAAATTGTATAGGAAGCAATGGGTGATGCTAATGTTGTTCAAAAGGAGTAGTGAGTCTTTCAATACCTTTAGCAATGGCAATTTTGGACCTGAATACAAAGAAATGCCAGACTTGAGTGGACCAAATGCTCTAAAGTAGTGAATATTTAAAAGCACTGACAGAAAAGACTTCAAAAGACATAACGAGACAAAAAGAACAACACAACTTTGAATGTGGACAGGAATCCAGCTGTTGTCTAGCTGACTTCTGGACACTTTGCACCAAGATCCACCACTGTCAATAGAACTGGAGACTGATTCATAATCAACAGACAATTGTTCTCCTGTGTCCACGAAACTGGACAATCGCTGAATGCTAAACACCTAGCTGTTGCAAACTCAGTTACAGCCAATTGCAAAAAGGGAAGATGGGCGTCTGAGTGTTAGGTTGAGCGTGTTTATGTTCGCAAGCCACAAACAAAGAATAAAGGGAAATGACTTTGAGGCCAGCATTGCACAGTGGCTGATAACATAAATGGTGAAATAAGAGGTTGTCAGCACATTTGTTAGAAAGACCTACTTTATTTTCATCCATGATACAGAGTTAAAAAGATCCTCTCCTGTGGTTTACGTCTCTGAAGCTTTTTCATTTTTTTAAAGCAACTGTATTCATCTGAATGCACACACAACCTGGATGATGTAAACTACTTTGAGTTTTTTGTAAGCCGACTGCATATGTGTTTAGGGAATGAAATACGGAAAAAAAAAAGTTAAAATAATTCATATTGCTATGCCTGCTTCAATGAGCCATTGCTTTGTCATTTTGTTTTGTACTCAGACTAGTTTCAACAGGGGTCTCTGTACAAAAAAGCCTGTAAATGTATCAAAAACAGTGCCATACCTTGAAATGAAAATCATGTAGGTCTAAAAACACACCAAAGGCCGGCAAACTTTGGAACAGTAGGATTGCCATTAATAACAAGTATCGGAATCGTAATTTATTGTTATTTATTATTTTCACACACTTCTCTCTTGCATTTAGAGATTTTTGTAATGTTGTAAAAAAAAAACTGCAGCATTTAGATCGATGGCTACCTTATGGTGCGAATGAAGATTACGGTTAATGCACATTTGCATTTGAATGAGTTATTCAAGGCGATAACGTCTGTAAGAGCTTAGTTTAAGACCATTTTCAGATCTGAGAAACACCAAGGTAATTCATCATAGTAACAGACGATCGGTTTCAATCAAAGTTAAATATGTGAAACCAATTCCTCTGTGAAGTACTGTTGGGATGTTCTACATATCAGCACTGCAAAAGCAATCATGAGTGATTAACACATGACAACACAGATGATAACAAGCTATAGGCATTAAACTGGATGAGATGTGGTCTATTTCTGGAGATAGGCAGCGATTTTTTATCAAATTTACATAGAGGAATAGTTTTCAAGTACCAAACAATATTACAAACTTGACATTTGCAGCCACATTGATGACATCAATTCAAACTGGATCTGGAGGGAAAATGTGTGTTACTGTATATGATCTATTTGCCCGCTTTAAAACATCTCAACAGTGCTAAATCGTGCATGATTTTTTCAGTAGTTATGTATCTCTTTCTTTATAGTCAAAAAAAAAAAAGATTGTTACAGTCATATAAGCAAACATTATTATGTCTCTGTTAATTCATGCAAAAGCCTGTTCTTCTCATGATATGAAAGTGGGATGGATGGATTCTGTGTGACTGCTTGCCCTGCTGCATTGCTTTATGTGACTAAGGGTCGAGGAAGCCAATCATTTGCTCAAAAACGTGCCAGGAGAGGTTTGGATACAGGACTTGCACTTTTCTGTGAGCTATCTGTCTGAGGAGACCGCAGGGGTTTGAGGTTGTGGGGGCTGAAGTAGGTGAGCCCTTCTTCAGTGCTTACCTGCTATTATTTGCCCCCAGCCCACAACAATGTGCCATTTTTTCACTTGCATCACAGAGTAGTCCTTTGAAACAAAGAAAAAAAAAACTCCTAAAAAATGATAAGTAAAAGATTAAACTCCTGTCAAACTCTCTCTGTATCTGTTGTGTAATTCTTTGTAGAACTGAAAACAGTGTTACAAAAAAGGATTGCATGAGTGTGTGAGCGTGAACGAGTGTATTTGTATAGAAGAATGTGATGTGTGTATTTTGATTTCTAGGATCAGAGCATGGCCGTGCTTATTAGAGGGTAGGACTCTATATTATCGGGCTAGAGTTTGACAGGCGGATGGGAGGAAGGGTTACGGATCTGTTACTCTTTTGTTCTTTTAAAAAGACGAAAATCTGTTGCTGTAACTTTTTGCATTTTGTTTCTGCTTATTTTTATTTATTTTTGTACTGTGATGACAAATAAACTGATGCACTGATCGTTAAAGACAGACCACGGTGTGGTTGTTTCAGGAAGGTTTCAGCTGACAACACATAGAGAACACTATAATTCTCGACTGGACGGTCCAAATTGTACCTAGTCACATTAGTGTGCAGGGCTGTTACATAAGCAGCTTAGCAACATGAAAACTGGCAGTTTACCAGTATAACATTCTTTCTTTCTTTTTTCTTCAATTATGTAGTCTCACATTATCACAGATCAGTTTATTTAGGATAATAGTAGCTTCTTAAACATTATTACACGACTCTGTGGAATACTTGATTCTGATTGGTCAGTCGCGACATTCCGAGGTATGCTATCCCTCGATAACAACCGGTAAAAGCTAATAACACAGGCTCATCCGGGTAACAGCAGTCGGCGCTGTACGCTTGCTTGAACTATTTTTTTCTTGGTGGAAGCTTTGCGTTTGTTTAGCTAATAAAATATTAAAACTCGATTCAAAATGGTGTACAATTATTTAATTATGGCACTCTCTCGTTCCATACAAACGCAGCTGCTGCCATTTTGCTACGATTGTTTTGTACGCTGTTACGTTAATGGATTATAAGAGAACTAACAAACTGGTAAGGTTTTAAAACATTTTCGTCTTAATTCTTTTATTGCCTTTATTTTTGTGGTGAAATGTTGTGTAATAAGTGGTTTGACTGCACCGTTTCCCTTAAATGTCCGTTTTGTTTGAATTTGCCGCTTGCTCGCAGCTGCGGTCTTCACGGAAGCTTTGCGTTCAAATATTTCAACTCAAATCAATATTTCGCGTCTAATTATTTACTTATGTGGCAAGTAGCCGTGTAATAAGCGGGATAATGTACATCCAGCCGTTTGTTGTCTCAGAATAAACCCCTTCAGGCTGATACAAGAGCCCTCCGTTTCGCGTCAGGGCCCTGATCACCCTGTCGGGGTTTATTCTGAGATAACGACCGGCTGGATGTACGTTACATGATCCCTTACATAACGTTTCCCTATTATACCTGTCAACACTAAAACTAATAGATGATCTACAGTAAAAACATACTATTTTAAAATATTTACAAGCTTAAGAGCATAGCCATAAGTCTTAGTTAAAATGTGTAATTTTAACTGTGGCAATATAATCATAGATAATACCCAGTAAAGTGTCACTCTTCCCAAACTAGACTATTGTGCACATATTCATGGCACGTGCCGAGGCCAAAATCTCCAATTAAGTGGGTGGATCTTTATGAAATAGGGTAGACTTGTATACATGATTATATGTGGGTTTTTGAATGAATTAACAATCTTAATTAGGGTGCCAGTAGAAAAGATATATTTATACTAAATATAACTAGTAATAAAAAAAAGTGTATACTTCCTAATTTATGTTGAAGACATGCTTAAAAAAAATATATATGAAATGCCATGTAAGGTCTCGCTGAATCTTTCTGGAATATGTTAATTTACATATTCACCAGAATGAACCAGCTTTTCAAAGATACACATCAGATGGGACTGTTTAGGACTTACCGGTTCACTGGAATGAATTGGTCTTTTCAAAGCTGTATGTGAGAGTGTTGTTTAAGACAAACCAGTTCATTAGAAAGTATCAAACTTTCCTAAACTACATATAAAAGAAGACAGACAGTTTAACACGAACCGACTCACTAAATGAATTCACTCGAATTACCAGCGCTACTTATGAGTGAGCCTAATTCGTTATAGGCGCGAAATAAAGGTATTACGTTATGTCTTTGTAAAAATGCACTTAAACTATATATATATATATATACACACACACACACACAACAGATCTTATAACTTTATTTTGTAGTTTCGTTTTATTTCCCACAGCATTAGGATTGGGTGGACCAGTGACACCCTGGCCTGTAGCATCGCCACTGATTCATGGTGTGATTTAATGCATTTTAATCCAGTACAATAATAAAGTATGATTATTCATACATAAGATAAATATCCATCATGAACTCAAGAGCAAGCATTAAAACAGCCATGTGTGAGAATAAACAGTGCGAACCATGATACCTCAACATTGCTGTCAATGCACTTCCCAGCGGCAAACAGCTGCTCACCCTGGATTAATAGCAGTATGTGGCAAATCAATTAAATAATGACAGTATATCAGTGTGATGGAGCAAAAGCCTTGGAGCAGACACTTCAAGGGCATGTTTATTTTCAGGAGCAGATATTTGGTATAGCATTTATTTGATTATTAAAACAAAACAAATCAGTAAAAGGCGTCTATGCAATATAATGATTTAAAAGTGTAGTTTGTTTCCATATAATAATTTTCATTACTAAATGCACAAATGCAGGTTATTGCATTAACATACACATGAAAAAAGCTCTTCTTAAAGAAAAACACTATAAACTGGATTCCCTTTTTGATTTGGTCCAAGCATGTGTAACATCTTTTAAAAATGTAAAACAATTTTAAAATACATTAATTAAATAATAGAAGTATAAAAGTAGGCACATCGTTTGATCGGATGAGACTAAATCTCTAATATTAACCAAGATGAACAGGTATAATTACAACAAAGAACATCACAGACATTTACCTGGGAACTGGAATTATTCGGCACTTAAACGGAATCACTGGGGTTCAAGACAAGAGAGAAATAAATTATTTTATATTATATACGGATCATATATCGTATGACTATCTCTGCCAGAACACTCCACAAAATGGGTTGGATTTTATGCAACTGAACAATAACATAACTCCTTTTATCAAGGTAAAAGCGCATTCACACACTGTCAGTATTTTTCTACTGAGGGCCAGAAAAAGTCTAACTGACAATCAGTGTTTGATTCAAGAAAATAGATCTTTAGAAAATGCTATAAGTCCATTTATTGCACTTCCTTGCTTTTAAGAATTGTTGAGAAGAAACTGGATTAGAGCGTCTGACTTTATCTTCTTCCGTAAGTACCATGTGTACTTTGTGCATTCTTTTACTGACACACTTTACCAATCCAGGCTAATAGTCAAGAGTGAGTACAGGGACTGAGGAAGAAGATGAGAGAGTGTGCACCTATTTGAAGCAGACATGGTCAGTGAAGCAAATTGGAGATTATCTGATCAGCGTTCACATGTAGCTTGAGGCTCTTTAAAAACACACTGACTGAACTGCATCACCGATCACTTGCTGAAAGTGATAGTCTGACTGTCTTGACTTGGACGGATCAGTAGTCATGGCCCACAGCTCACTATCGAATGCACTTTCCCCCATTTTAATCACACGCAGTGATGGGAGCTTATAGTGAACAAAACAACCATGAACAAAACAATGAAACAATTATGGGAAAACAGATTTATGCAAACACCTTAGGAATGAAGAACAGCAGTAAGTTTTCAGCTTGGCACTTTCTTTATGAGTTACGAAAGCTTCAAACTAGGTCAGACATCTTGGGAGTTTCCACTCAGAACTGTTGATTTTGTTCTATGAATCAATACCGCTCTTTTTCTCTCTTATTTGAACACATTTACACATACATGCGCAAAGTTTGTAATATAAACACTTGCTGTTTGCAGTGTTAATATTGACAAAATATTTAAATATGACTAGATAGAACTAGCTGACAGAAGTAAAAACGGACCCTAATGGAACAAATGCATGTTTGGCTCATGTAAAATGGCGACAACTTTGAACACGGTTCTTTGTAAACATGAGAGAGCTTCTTTTTAATGGCTTTATCATCACAGAAGTGGTTGAAATTATTTTTGGCTATAGGCCAGTGATAGTGAGTGAAGGACTAAAGGGACCACTATTGGCGGCAGGGTCTATTATTTTAAAAATGGAAATAGAAGATAACATGTCACCACCATCACCTCCTGCTCTGTGCCGCCCCATCTGATTCTACCTCAAGATCAGGAAATATGTGAATAAATGACAGCTCTTGTCCTACCTACATTATACATATAGTGCATACAGTACATTATATAAGCTATATCCATTATGACAGTTTCTGTATACAATATGTGCTATAAATGACCAGCTATATGCAGAAAAAGAGAATGGTTTAAATTACGAGAGAGTTTAACGCACCTCTCTGAGCAGTTAATGAGTTTAAGGATATGATCAACACATCCTGCTCAAGAGCATCTGATCAAATTCAGCAGCAACCGCAGGACTGCTTATGATCTGTGCAATATGTCGGGACACAAGCAGAGCTATTCGTCATCCCATATGAAGCACTGATCAAAAACCAACAAATTCCCTTTGAAGGAAAAACCTCAAAACACAAGTTAGATACTTTTACATCTTGCGCATCCTGTTCCTCATAAATATTACATTTATGATTGCCCTTCATTTGGTTGTAATGTTTAATAAATAAACAGCGCCGAGTTTGGTAAATCTTCTTTGAGGGTATATATCGCTACCTTCTTGTCATCTTGAACATAATCTAAACTGAAGTTTGGAATTTAGGGACAAATTAATAAAAAAAAAATTTTTCTAAATTAAATATTCTTCCTTGCCTGTCTTCAGGCAAATTTGGTATGGCTTCATTTCTGTGGTTCAACTCAAAAGTTTGGACTAGAACAAAACCGATATTCTGCTGTCAATGTCCTTTTAAAGGGGTCGTTTTGGGATCCCTGGTCCTTTAGTTGCCTGGCACTGAGAGAATGTATCCCGATCGGCTCTTGGTGAAGTCTGGCTGTGATTGGTTGATCTTGGTTTCCACAACGACAGTGCACTTCCTTCCATTCATACTGCAGTGAATGGGGCTGACAATGTTCACCTGTAGCTTCCTCTTCTCACTAGAAACAGAGAGAGAGAGAGAGTCATTGAAATATTCCACATGCTCTTGTTTTTGTTTTGGTCCACAGAGCTCTGTGTGCTTGTCGCATCTGGTTGGTTGGTTGGTTCTGGGTGGATGGGCATTTTACGGCAGACTCGCTGAGGGGATCAATGAAGCACAAGAGTAATTGGCTGAGAGAGAGCGACTGGGTTTTTAGAGAGGGGTAAATGGAAAAGTAAAAGTTCAGCTGTATCACACACACACTCTGCAGTTGAAGTCAATAGCTCCAACCACTAAAAGCCTCGTTACACCTAGCAAACCTATTAGCTCCATTTATGCATATATATATATCCTCACATTATATTAGAAAGCTGTTTTGATAAAGCCATTCTGAACATTAAATTATATTATAATATTCCGGGTTCAGTAGTACACATTAGGCTCAATTGACACTTAAAGCATTGAGTTACCACAAAGATGAATTTCCACTTGTCTCGTTTTCTATAAAAAGCAAAAATCTGATTTACAATGAGGCACTTACAATGGAAGTGAATAAAGGTGCGGTCACATTTACCATTGCTCTGCAAAATTTTGTGTGCGAAATCCAGTCATTCCAATAGGAATCTGTGCGATCAGGAGTTTCGCATGAGGGCAAAAAACTTCCCATGCAGGTTTCACTCATTTTCAAGTTGGTTACATGAATTTGATGCATTGACCAACAAAAACCTGCTTTTGAAAGTGACTTCTGTGTGAGCTGTGCTTTATATCTCTCTGTTATTGACAATAGAAAATGAACCTTTTTTGCTTGTGAAATTTCACTGCAATTTCACTAATGTGAGAACACCTTAAGGCAAATCTGTAGACTTTTAAAATAATGGGGGTTTTTTTCAATAGTGTAGCCACACGACATAAACGTGTTAACATGATATTAGTGGAAAAACGAGTTTACTAACCTTTTCTTTGTATATTTTTATACAATGTTTCATTGTCTACCTTAAAATGATCATAAAAACAATGACAGCAACTTCATGGCTCAAATAATACACGTTTTCACTGCAGAAATAATGTAAGTTCTTTTATAAAATTATAAACTTTATATTTCTGTTTTTGAATCATCTAAAAATTGTCCCCATTTACTGTCATTCTAGGTGTCTAACTGTTATTTTTTAAGAAAATGAGGTACGAGTTGAAATTAATTTGTCACAAATGCTGTCGATTGACTTTAATGTAATGAAACCAGAACATTGTTTATACCCTGAAGAATCCCATCTTCCCAAAACTAATTTGTCTGCTCATTGAACATTGAAAACATTATTAAAGATTGTATGTGTTCATTATAGTAGAACCATAACAACTCAATCATTTTTAAATCAGAAGTCTGATTTAGAAGGGTGACCTTCACCAGGCAGCTTTTGTAAGAAATCGTGCAGATGATAAACCCCCCATTAAAAAGCTCTGGCTCCATAAGTTACTATACCAGCAGGTTGCTGCGCCAGGCGTTTCTATGGCAACCCAATGAACCCCATCATGTGGTAGGGCTGCTCCAGTCTCAACCAGCATCAATCTCTCCCATCATTCACAATCATTTCAAAGGGTTGGAAAACCCTGGATTTACTCAGTGCATATAGTATACAATTCCTTCAACTTCCTGTTGAGGCAGGAATGAAATCAAGTCGATGAATTGCATCATTGCTTGATGAATTGTGTAGTTGATTTTAGCAGCAGGGAACGGCATGAAAACGGTAGATTTCCCCATACTGAGAGTCTCTCTGTGAGCCCGACTCTCTCACACAGTGCTGGGGAGCAGACAGCTCTGCATGGCCCATTGGAAAATCAATTCTTTCCAGCCCTCCTCTCCCCTGAGCCTGTGCCCTTCACGCCAACTGACTCACCACCTTTGAGGCCTGCTCTGCTACCCAGAATAGAAGTAGTATTAAGAGAAGGTAAAGGGGGAGGGGAAGTGAGCACTCAGGAGATGCAGAGGTAAATACCGGAAGTCCAGTTGTCTAGTGTCAGACAGCATCACGACTGTGTCATATATCTGTATATTCTCACACGTTATTGTGCGATTCATCAGTCGGGAAAGTTTCTAGGATAAATTGAATAAGTATGCACCTTTATGAAGACAGTTTCTGATTTCTATAGCTGTAAAACGACACTAACAGAAAAATATATGAATATCATTGCATTATACAACATTTCAAACCAAGTAGCATTAATTTTAAAGAACGATTCCACAAGCATGCTTTCCAAGAAAATATTGCACAAAAATAAGTGTTATATTTAAAAATATTTACAGTATATAATTTTAAACAAACTTTGATGTATGTACATATATCAAAACATTTTATGTAAAATTAATATATAAATACACATATTTAGCACATAAATAAAGAATATATATACTACTGTAATAATATACTACACCTGTGGTTATTCTGTTTGGGAACTAGTTTTTTCTGAGAGAGAGAAAAAAACATCTAGCATCATGTGTTCGTAGATGTCACCTGCTTTCATGTTATATTTGAGGGATTCACAAAATTTTTTGTCATCCGAACCCACTGACATTAAATACTTTTTTGAAGAACTCCCTAAAATTAAGGTTAAATTGTTTTTACTTTTTCTGTTTTTCTAAATATTTATTTTTATTTTTAATTATGATTTAATTAGCTTTTCATCAACTCACAAATCCCCTGAAGTTTTATTTAAAGGGGTCCTATTATGCTTTTTCACTTTTTCAACTTTAGTTAGTCTGTCATGTTGCTGTTTGAGCATAAAAAAGATCTGCAAAGTTACCCTTTAATGCAATCAAATTCATACATTTAAAGCATGATTTATGTATCCAAATATTTTGGGACTATTTTATAATAAAATGGCCATAATTGAACTTGAGTTGCTTTACATTAATGCTTTGCTTTTTAATGCTTTAAATAAATATTTTTTCCTTCTCTCCCTCTCTCAATGTGCATGTGTATCAGGAGGTCAGCAGGCTAAAAGGAGGAATTTCCTAATGTGACTGAGCCCCCACTGACACTTCCTCTTCTACTGCCACACCAACAGATGCAACTGAGGTCCAGAGAGCTGTTAACAGTCTCTTATGATCACTATGCTGCATCTGTATTTATCTGCAAAGCAATTTGGCTGTAGTACTGTAGATTTAGTGGGTCGAGGAAAGAGGGAAAATGGGAGGAGAGAAGAATGAATGTGTGTCTGCAACATAGTCACACCCCACCTCCCAAAATAGCAGATATACCCTTGGGATAATCAGTCTTTACATCCTCAAAAAGAAAGAAAAAAAAGCCAAAAAGTATTATGCTTGCTGTGCACTGGAGAGAAGAGAGGCAGCATCCCAGCATCCTTTGCTTCATATGCCCCACCCCAGTAATCTGACTGCACTGTCTTCCTCATATTGTTATCACACTTCATGTGTGCAGGTCTCTCAACTTTACTCTCTCTCTCTTTCACACACACACACACACACACACACACACACACACACACACTTCCTCAGGCTGGAAGCACCTTTTTGAGGTTGCTATTATTAAATCACATCCTACAGTATAGAGGGATTAGAATAGAGAGCACAGATCGTGATGGTGGAAATTATTTTTAACCATGATCCCTTAATTAAAAATATAGACTACAACAAATAAAATGATACCTTATTGATTAATTAATGCACAATTAAGCTTTGCTACATTTGATTTTCATTGGCATTTAGTTCATTTTCAGTGCATGAAATCTGCCAAAAGGAGCATGACGTTCATTGAAGCACCAACACATGATGAATAAGACAAGTAGACAGATTACTATAGGAAATATAATTATTCAGCTTCCTCAAAGTTGTCTGTAGAGTAAAGCCCGCCCTCTAAAACTACTATTTATCAAACACAAGCAGAAGCTTTAGCTTCTAATATGTAATCAGATCAGTGGCGGGGCTTCACTGCCTCTGCTCTTTTTCACAATTTTAAAGACAGCTGTTAAGGAGGAGATTACAAAGTAGGTCATTTAGAAGCACTGGGAGAAAAGGCTTAGCAAGAAGAAATATTGATCATAGCTGGAGCTCTTCTCAGAGAACAGCGGGCATGAATACGAAAGAGGGAAAGGAGGAGAATGAGTGAGGAGGGGAAGAAAAGATTGAGGGATGAGCAAGTAAGTGAAGATGAGAGTGCAAACGAGGAAACAATGGAAGACAGAGAGGCCAGGCCTGCAGGGAAAAACAGTAAAATCTTTTGTCAGGTCAACAAAAAATGTGCTTCATGTGGTAACATCTAAATTAATGAATTCTAAATGAGAATTTTTTTTTTATTTTTATAATGTTTAATCATAAAAGTTTTAAAATTCAGAAAATAATTATCATTACCAATCTTTTTTTTGACAAAAGATATTTTAAGATGATCATAATCATAACAACACAAAGCAAAATGTATAATGTATATATTTATTATATTTAAATAAGTAATAATAACAAAGAAAACAAACCTCCTGGATATACTATGGCTAATGGTTAAAGGTCAAATCAATCATGATGGTTTGAACATATTACAATCTGAAAGGAAAAATTGAAATCGCATCATATGACCCCTTTAAAACATATTTTAAAATGCATCAACGAGTTAATTTAACTGAATCAGAATGACTCTAATATGCAAGTAATTTTGAAGGCTCAGATCAGATCAATGCAGGAAGCTGCTCCATACTTCCTATGGAATATCTGCATGTTTCCAAGGTTAAGACTAAGACATCTGCAGGTCTGCTCCTTGACTAAAGACAGACCCCTGTGTTCCCGTCATGTTACCAGGAACTGAAATTGCCGTCAGCTGTAATATTTAGGCAGTATGTTTGCAGACACACTTCCTCTTGAGGGGTCACGGGGATCAAAGTGGACCAGAGATTACCTGTGCTGAAGGTTTAGAATGAATCGTATCTTTAATAGAATTGATTCTGATGAACAGCAGGTGTGTAGGGTGCAGTATGGACCTAATAATTTGAACATCTTCCAGGCTTTCTCTGCGAAGG